TTCACCTCAGCCTCCCAAAGGCGCGGGATTACAGGCTGAGCCACTGAGCCCGGCTCAGCTATTTTTTTTTAAGTGTTAAAAAATATAAGTGGGCCAGGCATGGTGGCTCAGCCTGTAATTCCAGCACTTTGTGAGGCTGAGGTGAGTGGATGGCCTGAGCCCGCAGGTCCGAGACCCGCCTGGGCAACTTGGCGAGACTTCATCTCTACAATAAATCAAAAAATTAGCCGGGCATGGTAGGGTGTGCCTGTAGTTCCAGCTACTTGGAAGGCTGAGGCGGAAGGATCGCCGGAGCCCAGCAGGTCGAGGCTGCAGTGGCCAGGAGCAGCCACTGCACTCCAGTCTGGGTGACAGTGTGAGACTCCAACTCAAAAAAATAAATAAATAAAAATAAATACATAAATATATATTATATGGATTATAGGTAGAATTATATTATGCTTAATCAAAATTATTCTAATGGAATAAGAAAAGCCTGTTGGTTGCCAGCTTCTTTCTCATACTGCATGATCTTATTGGTCAGATTTTAAAATCATGGCATTAAAATGTAAAATACCTGTAAATGTATTATTCAATACTCTTATTTATTACTGTTTCTTTCAGGAGTTTTTTGTGGAGCCATTTAATCGAAAAGCACGCCAAGAGAATCTGAGATATAATAATATGCTTAAACAACTTAGCAGTCAACAGTTAGCCACTCTTAGAGGCTGGAAGGCAATACAACTCTATCTTACAAGTGAAAGGGGACCTTGGGCTGAAAGGTAGGAGAATATAATTTATTAATTGCTCTTTTTTCTTTAGAACTCTGGTCTGGAACTTTTTGAGCAAATACCCTCTTCCTTCCAGTTTTTTAAATGTTTAGCTTACAAAACAGTGCTTTTAATTAATTTTGTTGTCTTTTGTGAATTATAGGTCTGGAATGATTAGAGATTTTTGTGTATATGTTTTCATCATGCAGTTATTTCCCTTCCTTTTACCCTGTGATACAATGTTTACTGGACTTTTAGACTCTTAGTCAGTGTTGAACCAGTTAGCCTCTGTCTTTCTTTTTTTGAGTTAGTGTCTCACTCTGTCGCCTAGACTGGAGTGCAGTGGCACGCTCCTGGCCACCGCAGTCTCGACCTGCTGGGCTCAGGTGATCTTTCCACCTCAACCTTTCAAGTAGCCACAACTACAGATGCCAGCTACCACGCCCAGCTAATTTTTTATTTATTGTAGAGATGAGGTCTGGCCAAGTTGCCTGGGTGGGTCTCAAAACTGCTGGCTCAGGCAATCTACTCGCCTCGGCCTCCCAAAGTGCTGGGATTACAGGCTGAGCCACCAAGCCTGGCCTACTTCTGTCTTTCTGATACCACCTATTTGAGCTAGGGTTAATGATGCTACGTGTTTGAATATTTCATAATTTAGTCACTTCTGTTTTGCTCCTTTTTAAATGGCGAAATACACATACAATTTACCACTCTATTTTTGAATGTACAATTCAGTTGCATTAAGTACGTTCATAATGTTATACAGTCATCACCACTAGCTTCATAATGTTTTTATCATCCCGGAAGGAAACCCTGCACTATTAAATAGTAATTCCTCATTATCTTCTTCCCCAGTCCATGGCAACCACCGATTTGCCTTCTGTCTCAGTGATTTGCCTTTTTTGGTTATTTCATATAAATGGAATCATACATCACATGGTCTTTTGTGTCTATCTTCTTTCACTTAGCATAATGTCTTCATTATGTTGTAAAATGTATTAGTAGTTTATTCCTTTTTATGACTGAATAATATTCTGTTGTATAGATACACAATATTTTGTTTATCCATTCATCAGTTAATGGACATTTGGGTTGTTTTTCACTTTTTGTCTATTGTGAATTATTGCTGCTGTGAATATTTGTATACAAGTGTTTGAATACTTGTTTTTAATTCTCTTGAGTATGTACTATGAGTAGAATTGCTGGATCATATGATAATTCTATGTTTAATTTACTGAGTAATCACAAACTTTTCCATAGCAGCTACTTAATTTTATGTTCTTATCTGCAGTACATGAGGGTTCCAATTTCTCTACCTTCTTACCAATTCTTGTCATTTCCTGATTTTT